CCAACAGCCCCCCTGTGCATCCAGATCCTCCACTGAGCTGCCCACACTGAACCCTCCGAACGCACAGCTGGTGGGGGGGCTGCACAGTGATCTCCCACCTCTGTGTAGCCAGTGGCCTGTGCTCCCCACTTATTTGACCAGTACAATCTGCAGAATGTTAAAATATTGTGCACACACTGCCCTCAGGAGAAAGACAAGGGAGGACACAATGAATTGTAGGAGCCAGAGACACAATCCAACCTCTTGCAGCATGAGAAGGCCCAGAATCCAGGCTGCTCTTCCGTGGAGTGGGAAGAACCCGGGTTCTTTGGGCAATGTCACGCTGACCGTCGAGAAGAGGCTAGCTGGAGAGGACGAGCATGCTGGCCCCCGGGGTTATTCTTACTCCAAGTACAGCGTGCAGAAAACGCCCATTTATTTTGGAACAAAGCTCAGCCCATCCCACTGAGGCTCCAAGACGAGAGGCCGTGTTTTAAGCTAACATTTACTACTATACGGTAGCGATTTAAGTCCCTCCTGTGGGCACTGCACAGTTAGCACACACATGACTATACACTATACAGACTGGGCTTTGTCACTACAGAGCATTTTACAGAGTAACTTACTGCAGGGAGGGCCCTGCCCACCTGCTTCTCCCCACGGGGAGCCTGGAGGGAGGCAGGGCAGCCATGAAGGAGGGCTCAGGGCTGCAGCCAAACGCTCACTACCATGACGACTGCTGCCCTGCTTTCTTCAAGACTGTGTGTAGCGGGGGATGAAGGAACCATTCCCCAGAGTCGGTGGCAAACAGAGGTGGGAGGGTTCCAGCCTTTGTGCTTTACTGTGTAAATGAGGAACAGCCCGATGGAGGGCAGAGCTTGCTAGAGAGAACACCTCCTCCTCCCCACTCCCTGTACACACAGCTCGCAGGACGCCTTAGTGCAAGGTCCCACCTGACACCCTGACCATCCCTACTCTGCAAGAAGTTCCACTCTAGGGCCTCTGCATTGGGGAAGCAGTGCACGGGCCCCGGTTTGCCCCAAGGCCCATTGAGCATGGGACACACATTCCATGGCAAGAACGCTCCAGGTGGCAGAGGGTGAAGCACGAGGGCCTAGTACTGGCTCTCAGAGGGCAACCCTGGGGCTGAGTTAAACCAGCACTCAGAGAACCGGGAGAAACACTGCTCTGAAAAGGGGGGGAAGGCTGCGGTCAGTCATTCTAGCTCTGGTAGAAAAACCAGCCCATCATTCATTCATCCCTTACATGTGCGTGCAGCCCTTCCCCTTTTTCTCCCCCCTCCAGCCCCCCAGAAATAACACAGGCAGCAGTACCAGAGTCCTCTGATGCTGTGGGTAAGGACGAGTAAGCACAGGGGAGCATCTCACTGGCAGTACAAATCTATGCACCAAGCTCTGTACCCACAAGGGAGCCAGTGCTGTGCAAGCGCCCGTTAGTGAGGGTAATGCAGGCTGTAAGCAGTGGTGCTGTGTCCTGCCTGACGGGCAAGGGGGCTGAGAATCTGTAGGACAGAAACGCACCTCGTTAGACATTCTCTGGCCAGATACCTCACTGCACAGGAGACTGCTACCTGCTCTCACACACTACCAGAGCTCCAGCCCCCCAGCAGGGTGTGCTCAGAGCTCCAGCCTGTCTAACACACACTGCTCTGGAGAGGTCTGTTCCAGCAGTCACTTCTCCTGCTCCCCCCTTTATCCTGCCTTCAGCTCCACTAACAATTCACTAGGCCAGCGACTGCTCTCTCCACCAAGGGGTCAGCCTGTTGCGGGGATAGTGGTGGATTTTCCACATCCCCTGTGTGAAGGGGCCTGGAATCACAAGATTAGCGAGAGCGTCAAGTTTCTCCTGCAGGCTCTGTACATAAACCCCATACACAGAGTGTTCCTGTCTCTACAGCTGTGCCCATGACAAATGGGCATGATGGACACGTACGTATCAACGGGCCTAGCATGAGGGCAAGGGTGGGGATGTCTGTGTTGGTTCTACACAGCCTGCCATATGGGACTGGAACCCTGGCTGCCTCCCTCTGCCTCACTGATGGCCACACAGAGCTCTCCTCCTCCAGCTCCTCCGGGAAAGCAGGACCGGATAGCAAACAATTGTGCACAGAAACAGTTCACCTTCCCGTCGTCAGTTCCACCCCGCTCTCAGGACTCAAACCCACACGCACTGGCAGGCAGAATCCAGGTCAGTGTGGTGCTGGATCAGGGCAGAAGTTTCTTCCTCAAACCTGACTGCAGCCCCCTGCAGCTCTGAAGGAGATGCTGTGAATGGGGGAGTCCCTTCCCAGCAGAGTCCTGGTGCTGGGTGGCTCAGTGGTGGTGCAGCACAGTCTGGAGATCCTCAGGCAGGGAACCAATGATGGTCTCAATGTAAAGGCCCACTCGCTGCAGCGTTTCCTCCTTCACAGGGAGGTGATGGCACCTGGCTCTGATCTGGGGGGAGGGAAAGAGAGGAGGGGGAACTTTTAATACAGACTCCAAGTATCCCCTTTCTGCTTGTGCCATTAACTTAAGGGAGCCCCATGGGCTCTCCCTTACCTGGGAAGATTTACAGGTCCTGAGCAGTGCTGCCCCTGAGGAGATGGTTTGAGACCCAAGGGTGGGGTGAGAAGAGCAGGACTGTAGGGTCCTTTTTCTAGCATATATAAGGGAAGCTCACACCTCCCTGGCTGACTTTGTATGCTGTTCAGCAGAGAGGAGCAGCAGGAATACACTGTCTCCTATACACCGTGTGCGATCCATTCACCACCAGAAGGGCCCATGCCCATAGGAACCAAAGCAGTAGGAGGAAACTCACCAGCTTCTCGCGAAGTTTCAGAACCAGGTCTACGATCTCCACCTCGGACTTGTCTTTCATCCAGGCCACAATGTTCTACAGCAAGAGAAGAAAAGTTCTCCTAAGGGAATGTCCTTCCGTACAGCAGCTCCCCTCAGAGCTATCTCCCAAGCAAAGCCTAGTACCGAGGCGGGGGTGGGGACAGAAGGTCCTTCTCCTCTGCACAGCTGTGTCCAAGGCTAGATCTTCACATGGTGCTGCATGCAGCACAATGGCTTCCAGGCTGGCTGAACAGAACCATGTCCTCCCCAGCTCTCTGCCTGTGGCAACGCTATCCGCTCCCAGCCAAGCGGAGAGTCCAGGGAGGATGTGGCAATACACAGGCTTTGCATGGTCTCTGTTCTCTTACTGCCGGTCAGTGCCAGGATTCCTGCACATTCTTCTTGCCGTGAGCTCAGAGGCCACAAGTAACTGCCAAAAGGAGACGGTCGTAGGATTTTTGTGCTGCCCTGGGGCACTGCACTCAGACCATGCACTCAGCAGGAGCCAGAGGCACTGGCACCATCCCAGACAGGAACTCCTGTCTATTTCAGTTCCCGGGAAGGAATCAAGCAAGCGGAGAGGCATCTGATCAGGAACTCAGCTGGCTCTGGAAGCGCCTGAAGAATTAAAATGGCTGCCAGCAGGAGGCAGAGCAGGGTTTGTGCTGGCTCCTGGGAAGGCTGGTCTGACCCCAAACTGGACACCCAGGCACTGAGAGTTAGGCAGTGACTGGGATGTGGAGTGGATGTTCCCCAAATACCTGAGTGCAATCCCCCCGTCCAGGAGTGCTGAATCAGGACGTGACAGTGGGCATCCCATCACCAGTAATGACACCCTGCATTTGCTTTCACCCTCTTTTGTCGGAACGTACCGCCTCGCAGATCGCCTCCAGGTGAAGGGCCTCTAGCTTCTGGGTCATTTCCTTGTGTCTCTGACGGTACCAGCCATCAAAGTTGGGAGACTTGAAGAAACGTCTGCAGGAAGAGACGTGAAGCTGAGAGGGGGAGGGAGAGCAGACCGGGCTCTGGAGAATGGTACTTGCTGTCTGGTTTCTTCACTACTCATAGGGATTTCCCATCCACTGAAAAGGTGGTTCCAACACAGAGACGTTGGAGGGGGGACAGAATCCCTGGTTCAGTGTAATTAGGGATGTGGATAGGTTAAAACTTCAGAACGGCCAGACTGGGTCAGAACAAAGGTCCATCTAGCCCAGTAGCCTGTCTGCCGACAGTGGCCGATGCCAGGTGCCCCAGAGGGAATGAACAGAACAGGGAATCGCCAAGTGATCCATCCCCTGTCGTCCATTCCCAGCTTCTGGCAAACAAGAGGCTAGGGACACCATTCCTGCCCACCCTGGCTAATAGCCATTGACGGACCTATCCTCCATGAATTTATCCAGTTCTTTTTTGAACCCTGTTATAGTCTTGAATCCTGTTATAGTCAAGTATAGGTTGCTAGGGAGAAGGCTCCTTACTGACCCCACCTTCCCCAACCTCTCATACCAATGGCCCGATTGATTCTTAGTCTCAGAAGTTGGCTTCTCACACAATGCATAGGTGCGAGGGTCTGGCGAGTTGGCTGCCCTGAGGCAGGCAATGGTGAGTGCTTCCCACCCCTGGGCAGGCAGCGTGCTCTTATGGTTAAGGCACTGGATTAGAACACAGAGGATTTGGGTTCTATTCTTGGCCCTGCCACAGACTCCTTGTGTTCATTTTCTAGAATTCTGCCCAATCCGGTTTGCAGTGTGTCAGGAAATTGTGCTCGTGGCCTTTCCACAGGGAAATGACTCCACAGCCAGGGCAGTGCCATTGTGTGTTTTCTAATCATCTTAAACTTGCCCTCTCAGTTTGACAATCTTAGCTCCATCCCCCTGCACCACAACTCCCTTTCCTCCTTGGTGTTTGCACCGAACACTTATTGTTGTCACGGAGCTAAACTCCGCAAATTTCGGCCTTGTTCTCTCTTTCTAAGCAAGGCCTTGTGTACGCCGTAGCCGAGGGCCTGGAGGCTGCAGCCCTCCACAGTGCAGCCGATGGGTGATTCTGCGGCAGTTTCTTTTACAAATGGAGGTTTTTACTGAATGAAATACGGAAATGAAGCATTAGCACAGCTCATTAGTTTTACACAGCCCCATCATTTTTAATTTTCAGGGTACTGCAGAATTTCAGACTGGGAATGAAAAATGACATGGAGAAGTCGTCAGAGGGAAGCTGGCAGCTGGCAAGGGACATCTGAGAAGGCGTAGATGGTAGGAGGCAGTTTGGGATTATGGGATATGCAGATTAGTTGGATATTCACGCTAAAGTAATCAGCTAACACTGTTGAGAGCTACACGGTCATGTTTCAGAGTTTATCCCCGGTTAAGAATGGAGAATTTCAGATCTTCATTATAGCCTGAAAAAAAATCGCTATTTGCAGATTCAAGCAGACAGCACTTTATCAGTGGCACTCAGTTCATGCTTTTAAAGGTTTCTTTGTAACCTTATAAAGGCTCAGTGCCCCAGCACAATGGGCCCCAATCTCAACTGAGGCCTTTAAGTGCTGCCATAAAACACATCTTTTGTATAAATTCAAGCTTCGATTTTGGAGCACTATTCTGTGCTGAGGGATGGATTATGCAGAAAGTTAAGAACTGCAGAGCACACAAGCTTCTGCCCTGTAGACCCTAGTCATGTTCTCTGAACTCTCTCCTTTTTGCCAATATTTTTCTGGTATGTAGGTAGTTGAATATTGCAGCTATTGTCACACTAAAGCTGTAGAGAGAGGAGCTATTCACTTTCCTGCTGCTTGATTTAACCTACAATTGCACTGACTTTATTTGCAGCCTTATGTTCCAGCTCCACACACAATGTGCCTGTCCACTTTCTGGGTCTCTTTCAGCAACAGGTTCAGATTTTTAAAGGTATTTAGGTATCTAACTCCTTGATTTCAAAGGGTCTAAACAGCTCTGAAAATCTGGACCCCAATGCCTTCCATATTTCTCCTCTCCACTGAGTATCTGGTTTCAGTTTTTCCCCTCAGATTCTGGTGAAGGTTTGCTCTGTTCTGTTTGCAACTCTCTAATTTTTCATTAAAATAATAATGGGGGGAACCCTCTTATAAGTCATCTCAAACTTTACTGTAAAGACCCTGTATTGTTACCTATAACAAGGTAGGACCTGCAGGCCCCAAGCGGCATCTGGGTCCCATTGGGCTGGGTACTGTACAAACACACAAAGATTGTCATACTGGATCAGAACCGTGATCTATCTAGGCCAGTACCTTGTCTCTGACGGTGGCAAGAACCAGCTGCTTCAGGAGCAAGGTACATGAAACTCCCTAGTGGACAATGATGGAGTAAAGTGCCTCTGGGGAAGTTTTTCCCCAAACCTATCACACTCAGGGACTGGCTTAAACCCTGAAACAGGACAGTTTATAGTCCTACTAAAACCTGACAGTTCTGTGACATTTAAAATATTATTTATACATAAGCAGGATTAGCTCTGTTTGCTGTTCCTCCCAGCCATTATAACTTGGCCAGTTCCTTGTTGGCATCAAGCTTTTCAAAGGGAATGGTCTCTCCCTTGAAGCTGCTCTCTCCTCCTGATGAGTCTAAGCCAGGATTTGGCAGGTATGTTCGTTATACCCTTTACCTACTGCTGATGAGACAAGACAACCAAACACCACATTCTTACCTGTACAGGCCTAACCAATCACCCTTAAGTACACAGGTGAGCTGGGGACCAGCATGTTCAAGGGTCTTCATGAAATCTTCCTGTCGGAAAGGACGGATCTGGGGAGGATTCTGTGCAACAAAAAGAACACATCGCAATGGAGCCCCAAGTACTGGGAATGAGGCTCAGAGCTCCTAGGAAGAGTCTATGCAGGGTACACCGAAAACCTAGGAGAACCACCAAATGCCTGAAACTGCGCATCTCAAACAATTCTGCTAGGAGAGTTTATGTTACAGATCTCTAACAGCCTTGCTGAGCTGAAAACTACTATAAGGAAGAATGAACACTGGGACAGATGCTTCCATCTCCCTTTTCAGGGGGAACAATCCTGTCCCTGCAATAAGGGCAGTTTGAGAGTAGGCCATAGTATTTCACAGATTCCTACATCTTTTCTAACAGTCCTACCTGGGGGGTGGGGGAGGGGGAATGAGCTCTTTGAGGCTGGGCACCCTTGGATTGTCCTATGACCCAGTGTGACAGTCTGTACCCCTCTGTTCACCCCTTTAACAAGACTCTGTTCAATTTTGTACAAAGGATAAGGTATAATTTGAAAACTCCCGATTTGCTATCCTGGTAAAATGTTTGGCAACATTGTATGTAAAGAGATAAGATTCCACTGTGTAATGTACCAAGACATGTTCCAGCACGTTCTGGAGGGCAGTCACAGACAAGTTCCCCAGAGACAAAAGCTAGCCAATGCCTCAGACAGGTGTCAACGAGACCAAATGGACCATCACCTGATTAAGGAGCCACTCTTGGGCAGGAGAGAGGGTGTGAGCAAAAAAAAAAAAAAAAATCTACCTTTTGACAAAGCAGCACCTCAGGGTTTCTGACCCCACAGACTTTCTGTCTCCTGAACATCAGCTGGACCTGATTCTTGTGCAAGAGAAAGGGCTACAAGTGGAGAGGACAGACACCCCAAACATCACTCCCTGCTCTCTACCCACAGCCTCCATCAACACCTGCAGAACAAGGACGTGGCACTGGACTGGAAAGCAGACCCTGACGGAAAGAGGTTCAGCCAGTAAGACGGCTGGAACGTGTGGTGAGAGAGACCTTTGCTTTGTATTCACTTAGCTTGTTAAGTGAGGTGTGTCTTGGGTTTTACCTTCGATTTCTTTGTAACCAATTCTGTTTGTATGCCTCATTACTCGGAGTCACTTAAAATCTATCTGCAGTTAACACATTTTTATTGTTTTATCTAAACCAGCGTGTTTGGGAAACTCCATTTGGGATAACAGGATTGGTGCATATAGTTTTCTATTAGTCAATGACAGACTTCATATGAGCTTGTATTGTCTAGGAGGATTCTGAGCAGTACAAGAGGCACGTTTCTGGGGGAAAGTCTGGGACTGGGAGTTTGCTGGCGTTGCCCTGAAATGTAATTCAGGAGTGGCTAGCTATAGCACTCAAAGTATAGCTGGGAGTGATTTACATGCTGGAGGCTGTGTGTGGACAGACCAGGAGTGGTTGCTTTCACAGCAAAGCAGGGTAAAAGGCAACCCAGGTTGGAGAATTGAGGGGACACAGCTGTCGGTCATTCTAGATTGTATCCTGGATAATGTCACACCCAGATCTAAGTCCTAGAGGGCCTGGGCACTCTCAGAAGATCATGTGACCCAGATCTAGGAGCTCTAGAGGGCCTGAGCCTTGGGTACTTTTCCCACATCTGAGCAGTCTGTTGCATTTGGGAACATTGGGACAATTTCCCAAGAGAATGATCAGCATAAAAGTGTAACTATTCCAAATCTCTCTAAGGAAATCAAATGAAACCGGACATACCTTCCATGGAGTAATGGCCCTCTGTAGAGGCATCAGACTCGCAATGTAGTGCTCCTATGGAGTAGTAGTGAAAACAAAACTTAGACTAATTAGAGAGCCCTTCCCAAGGTCATTAGGTGTCATGCTGTGCTTTAAGAGCCACCAACATGACATGCAGTGAACAACTTTCCATTCTCTTTTCCCCTTCTTTGGTGTGTAGATTTCCACAAGTCCAAATGCTCGTTTGCTTATCTCCTCCCACCCCTCGATCCCCACTGCCCCGGGAAGCTAGGACATCAGAACTGGCTGCTGTGGAAGTTTTAAGAATGCCACACAGGATGAGATCAGATGGGAGGGAATCAACAGCAGGAGCTGAGTGAGACTCAGAAAACACTGTCACATCACAACTCCCCTCATCGGAACAAAGAAGATGGAGAAGCCAATGCGATTCTAACTGGAATGTCTACCATAGGTGCAAGTAGCTCTCTCACAGGACAGGAAGAGAAGAGGGGTTGAAAACAGCAACCATTACCTTCTGCAGTAAAGCAACAGCCATCCAGACAGGGCTCTTAACAAATGCTGTGGTAGGGATTGAACCCTCAAGAACTAAATACTAGGGCTGTCAATTAATCGCAGTTAACTCATGCGATCAACTCGAAAAATTAATCAAGATTAAAAAAATTAATTGTGATTAATCGCAGTTTTAATTGCACTGTTAAACAGTAGAATACCAATTGAAATTTCTTAAATATTTTTGGATGCTTTTTTACATTTTTAAATATATTGATTTTAATTAGAACACAGAATACAGAGTGTACACTGCTCACTTGATATTTTTGATTACAAATATTTGCACTGTAAAAATGATAAACAAAATGAATAGTATTTTTCAATTCACCTCATACAAGTATTGTAGTGCAATCTCTTTATCGTGAAAGTGCAACTTACAAATGTAGATTTTTTTGGTTACATAACAGCACTCAAAAACAAAACAATGTAAAACTTTAGAGCCTACAAGTCCACTCAGTCCTATTTCTTGTTCAGCCAATCACTAAGTGAAACAAGTTTGTTGACATTTATGGGAGATAATGCTGCCAGTTTCTTATTTACAATGTCACCAGAAGGTGAGAAGAGGCATTTGTATGGCACTTTTGTAGCCGGCATTGCAAGGTATTTACGCGCCAGATATGCTAAACATTTGTATGCTGGTTCATGCTTCGGCCACCATTCCAGAGTACATGCTTTCATGCTAATGATACTCATTAAAAAAAAATAATGTGTTAATTAAATTAAATTAGTGACTGAACTCCTTGGGGAAAACTGTACGTCTCCTGCTCTGTTTTACCCGCATTCTGCCATACATTTCATGTTATAGCAGTCTCAGATAATGACCCAGCATATGTTGTTCATTTTAAGAACACTTTCACTGCAGATTTGACAAAACACAAAGGTTCCAATGTGAGATTTACAAAGATAGCTACAGTACTCAAACCAAGGTTTAAGTATCTGAAGTGCCTTCCAAAATCTGAGAGAGACAAGGTGTGGAGCATTATTTCAAAAGCCCCAGAACAGCAACACACTGATGCAGAAACTACAGAATCCAAGCCACCAAAAAAGAAAGTAGCATCTGCTGGTGGCATCTGACTCAGATGATGAAAATGAATATGCTTCAATCCGCACTGCTTTGGTTTGTTATCAAGCAGAACCCATCATCAGCATGGAAGCATGTCTTCTGGAATGGTGGTTGAAGCATGAAGGGACATAGGAATCTTTGGCGCATCTGGCACGTAAATATCTTGCGATGCCGGCTACAACAGTGCCATGCAAATGCCTGTTCTCACTTTCAGGTGATATTGTAAACAAGAATCGGGCAGCATTATCTCCTGCAAATGTCAACAAACTTGTTTGTCTGAGCGATTGGCTGAACAAAAAGTAGGACTGAGTGGACTTGTAAGCTCTAAAGTTTTACATTGTTTTGTTTTTTAATGCAGGTTTGTTTTGTTTGTTTTTACATAATTCGACATTTGTAAGTTCAACTTTCATGATAAAGAGATTGCACTACAGTACTTGTATTAGGTGAATTGAAAAATATTATTTCTTTTGTTTTTTTTACAGTGCGAATACTTATAATCAAAAATAAACAAAGTGAGCACTGTAAACTTTGTATTCTGTGTTGTAATTGAAATTAGTTTTGTTCCCTTTATACGCATTGTGCTGGGTGTCAGGACTGCAGAGCCAAGCATGGGATCAGTCAAACCTGCCAATCAGAAGACAAGTTTATTCTTCTCTAAGAAGAATTAAAATGTCTGTGATGGTGTTCAGCCTCTGGCACAAAGCCTGTCTTTGTGGAATAACCCAGAGGGGAGGGTGGAACCCTGCATTCAGGCATATGCTGTTCATCCCTCCCATACTCCTTCACCACACAGATCAACAACCCCTTCTACTCACCAGGGGAATAATGAAACTCTGGGTGAGCTCCAGCAGGTGGCGCCTCAAAAGGGCACTTTGGACTTCAGACGGGCGCTTCCTCTGAATCCCCTGCAGGTAGAGAGTGAAGTTACAGCACGGGGGGTGCTCACGAAGATACCGTTTAACAGCCAGCAGCTTTAGTAGGTAAGAGCTGAGGCTATGCACGTGTGTGCAGTTCTCAGCAAAACACTGCATCTGCATGCAGCCAATCAAGGGGCAGACTGGAAAAGAATAATTTTGTGCACTCTCCCAAGCTTGGCCCATAATACAAGCTCCACTCACTTGTGACACTAAAGTAAGATGCCACTCACATAGACTAGATTGTTTAGATCTGCCTAATATGATCATCCCTCTCCTTTCTTGCTAACAATGCTAACGGTTAAGATATCATTAGGCTCCAGAGCTCAATCAAGTGAAATAATCTTCTGAGAGCACCACCCTGAGAAGAATGTCCAAGTAATTTTAACCCACGCTTGGATAGCCTGGACTAAACCATGACTGGAGTCAGGGTGAAGTCAAAGACCTTGGGCCGAGGGGAAACCCAGTACTATTTCTCCTTTGGGCTTCAATGGTTTAATCCAGACTTTAGCACTGCTTTCCTGCAGCGCTTTACAGGATGGGGGATAGAGACAGGAAACGCTCACCTTTAACAATCTCTTTATCAGGGTTTTGTCTTTGTGCAGAAATATCTTGTAAGAGGTGTAGATTCCTAGATTAAAAACACAGAAATGCTTAAAAACAAATCACCCCCTGGCACCGGTTTCTCAAGATCACATCATTGTGCAGTAAAGCCTTGTTCACAGGCAGGGGAGGGGAATTTCCCAATCTTAACTCTGGCTAGTTAGAAGAGAAAAAGCTTTGATGACAGAAACCTCCTAAAATGACAAGAGTTGCTGCCACAACAGCACTCACAGTAGGATTAACCTTCGAGACCTTTCAACTGCCCCGAGGCATCCCTCTCCCCCCAAAAATGTCACAGGAAAAGACACGTAACCAGCAGCATTAGCTCAGGACTAGACTTGAGTTGAATAGTTCAGTGGTGTTAGATAGCTGTATCTACCTACCTAGGTACAACTTCCCTTCACCATATCTGACAGCCTCCCAAATACTCAACAGAAGTGATATAAATTTCTCTGGTTAAATAGCCTGAATAATTTATATTGGGAGTGTTTAACATCTGAGAGCGAGGGGATGTGTTGTGTGTCTGTGACAAGAACATATCCAAAGTCTCAGCATGAGTTCTGAGCATGGCGAGGCCTGTGGCCTCACCTCCTGCAGAAATGAATTCATAAGAACGGCCATACTGGGTCAGACCAATGGTCCAGCTAGCCCAGTAACCTGTCTCTGACAGTGGACAGTGCCAGCTGTTTCCAAGGGAATGAACAGTACAGGGCAATTTTGAGTGATCCATCCCCTATCACCAAGTCCCAGCATCTGGCAGTTGGAGGTTTAGCGATACATGGGGTTGCATCCCTGATCATCGTGGCTAATAGCCATTGATGGACCTATTCTCCAAGTCTAGGCCCAGCTCCCCTGAAAGTTCTGTCTCTCACCTCAGGAGCCTCTCCCTATTGGCCAACAGCTTCATTTCACCAATGCAACATAACTGTCCTGGGAGGTCATGGTCGGGGAGCTAACCGCTCAGATGGTTAGGGTCAGTTCCAGAGAGGGGACTACAAACTGGACTGTCAACGGGGAGCCAGTGCAGAGCATAGGGCACCATCACAATGTATGCATGGATCTTGTTGCTAAGTGGGTAGGCTGTGCATTTTTCAGAGCAAGAGGCTGTTAGTGTATTAGTGTATAGATATAGAGAGTTTATCATCAACACATGGATCACTGTGACCAAGTCTGTGGCTGAAAGGATGAGGCAGTGTCTTCTGGCTAGGTGCGGATGGACATGGGTGCTTTTTGCCACTTTCAGGACTCATTTGGCCTGAGGCAGGCCAAGCCAACCAGCACCCATAGCGCGTTTAACCAGATGCTACAATTAAAGGAAACTTATACACAAGTCAAACATTCCGATGCTTCACTCCCCAGCACATGTTTTCACACATGTCCCTTCCCACCAACTGATGTTTCCTTAGAAATGCTAATTCACTGCAAAGGGGCTAGAGCCTCAGACTTCATGCAAATCTGTGAAGACTCAGGGTAAGTCTACACTGCAAAAAAAGACCCGTGGCAGCAAGTCTCTGAGCCCAAGTCAACTGACTCAGGCTCGTGCTATGGGGCTAAAAATAGCAGTGTAGACGTTCCCACTCGAGCTGGAGTCTGGGCTCTGAAACCCATCAGAGGGAGGTCTCAGAGCCCAAGTGTCTACACTACATTTTCAGCCCCGTAGGGCAAGCCCCACGAGCTCGAGTCAGTTGACCTGGGCTCTGAGTCTCACGGTTGCTGATATAGCTCCTGTGTCTGGGGCCAGGGTTCCCCACATTTCATGTGAGCTGCAATGCCTAGGCACAATGGGGTGAGATAAGGAAAGCAGAAGCGACACTTGAGTTGTATCACTTCAATGCAGAGATAAGAGTAGACGCACTGGGGGAGGGGAAAGACAGTTGATTCAGTCCAGCCCCAGACCCCTGAAGACAGAACAGCCCCACAAAACCCCACCTTCTTCAGCCAGTCAGAGCCATCAGGCTACTCAAGTACTTCCCAACAACCACCAGGGGAAACCTCTAATGAGGCTTCTACCATCTCCAAGGCTTCTCCTTCCTCAGATAGAGTCTTCCTCAGGGGGGTTTCTAAAACCAGATTGGGGGAGGCGGGGCTTCCACGTTTTCTGTGATTTTTTTCTGTATCAGAAGCCTTTAGATGGTCCAGGAATAACAATGGAGAGCGCAAGTCAGGAAGGACACTCACGTAACCGTAAAGAATTACTGCAAGCCGCAGAGGAGCTGGAAGAAGTTACAGCCCTGGAGTTGCTCTCAGGTGAGGCAGAGGGCAATGCCCACAACCAACACATTGCTGCAAAGCCTTCGAACTCAGCAAAGAGGAAGGATAAATGCAATTAACCAAAACTGACGTTAAAGGGGAATTACCCGGCTTAGCGTCCAGAGTTTTCAGTTTGGTTAGTTTCTTCACCTTGACTTGTTTGGGTAAGTCACCTGTGGAAAGACACACAGTGTCTAGTACCAGGTTATAAAGGCGGCACTTCTAGCCTCATAGCCACAGCACACGTGTGATAGGACTCGCACTTTAGACCATCCATGCCAAACTTGCAAAAATTAAACTGTATCCTCCTGTGATCTGAATGCTGAGCTAGTGCTGGTATCCCAGCTGCTACCGGGAGCTTTCAGACCGGCCTCTGCCAGTCCCCGGTGGTGACAGGAAAAAGGTAATAATGAGTCGCATAGAGAAGAACTCCTCAGCCCAACCTACAGCAGCGCTCTTGGCTTTTCAGAAAATAAAACCAGTGTCTCTCTACCAAGCATTTCTCTCCTATTCCCTTCCATCTTCATTCCCAAGAATAATCTTCCATTTCCTTAAAGCTTAGAAAAAAGAAAAACTTTGTTGTAATTTTCTTAAGACTTTGCCTTTACTGCTGTCACCTCAGCTCCCAGGCTAGCAGCCTGAACTACCCTCTCTGAGTCCCCGATCCTCACGGGCCGGTGATGTGCACATGGAACTGTTGCTGAGACACCACTACATGGGGCAGCTCACTGTCAACCTCTGAGTCTAATGCAGAAAGTCGAGCTTGGGTTAGAGCGTTACCTGACATTTTGAGCTCCCCGAGCCGAAGGAGGTGAGGCCAGTGCTGGAGCGTTTTGATAAAGAAAGGATTTGTGACGCCCACGACAACGTTCGGCCTACAGAGAGAAGGTTGAGATGAAAGTGGAAGCCAGAGCAACAATGCCCCCAAGGTTCCTTCATGCAGCTTGTGCTGACTGAGTAGTGAGTCTAGAGGCTCCTTTCACACAGGACAACCAGGGTACTTACGGGGCTTGTGTCCTGGTGGTGTACTCCTTAAACTCGCTGTCATGGATAGTGAAATATGGACGATAGTCACAGCAGTACTTCAGGGGGGTGAGACAGCTGCAAGAATAATACAGGAGTATTGCGGTGATCACGAAAGACAGCTCATGCTGGAGAGGAACAATTTTGGGACAGGCTAGTTTCCTAGTGGTCACGGCTTTGCACTGCCAGATGAAACACTCCCTCCCTCTCTAAACTGGCGGCATGTCTACACTTCGAGCTGGAGTGTCGTTACCAGATTGAGGAGTCACACTCACACGAGCTCTGACAGCACCAGCACACTGAAAGTAGAGCGTAGCCATGGCAGCGCAGGTGGCAGGAGGGGCTAGCCACCCTGAATACGTGCCTATGGTCTCCCAGGGGTACATACTCCGGGCAACTAGCCCCTGCTGATGCTCGCACTGCCATGGCTACACTCTGTGTTTACTGAGTTGGTTCTATCAGAGCTAGCACAAGTATGTCTCCTTGAGACGGGGATCACACTCTAGCTCCAAGTGCAGATATACCTTAAGAGTGCTGCTGACAGGGCCATCCCTAGGGGGGTGCAAAGCCCGGGACATATCAGCCCCCGCCGGCTTGGTGGCCCCGCTCTGCATCGGCGGCAGCACATGGCAGTGGGGGGAGGGACAGCTGAACTGCCCGGCAATTGATAGCCTGCTGGGCAGCTGCCCCACAGGGAACTTAGGGGAACGGGGAGCTGATGGGGGGCTGCCGGCCCACTCTGGTTCCAAGCCCCCACCAGCTAGCTCCAACGGGCTGCTCTTTCTGCAAGCAGTGGACAAAGCAGGCGGCTATCAAACAACATTATAAGGGCATTGCACAACTTTAAAAGAGCATGTTCCCTAATTGATCAGCAACGTAACAACGTTAACCGATGTTAAGTGAGGCGTTACTGTACTTGTATACACAAATTAGATCCGATGCAATTTATTGGACAGAGCAGTGGTTCTAAAGGGAGGAGAATCAATAGTATCCTGTGACAGTCACCTGCGATTCAAACAAATTACCTGGTAAGTGCCAGAACCATTTCTGAGGAAATTGTAGGGGATGGCGCCATTACAACTATTGGCTCCCCCAGTAGCATCAGCTCCCACAGCATCTGGATATGAATTAGCACTGGCTGGAAACATCTGTTAGTGAAAGAGAGAGTAACAGGGTAAGGCTAGAAATGGAGTTCCTGAAAGAACAGACTCTGGTATTAGGCACGTTCAGCTGCTCCTCTGCATCTGCACATTTAAGGTCTAGGATGGGTTCCTAATATCCTGCAGCAGTGAGTTCCACAAGGTAACTATATATATACTTCCTGTAAACCATTTCAAATCTGTTAAAAGGAAATATTTTAAGCAATATATAGTTACCCTGTGGATCTCACTGCTCATTTGATATATTTTAAGCAAAATAAGATACATGTAAAAGGGAATAGGATCTATAGTAGATTAGTTACATTAAAAATTTCCAGGGTAACCAATCTGCCAGGGCATAGGCTGATCCCTAGCTGAAGTCCGGAAGAAATTCCTGTCTCTATGGTCCAGGTGGTTTTGCATACAAGAAGCCCATACATGCACTACAAAGCTCCCTAATGCCCTTAAGCACTGTGCGGCTCCTACCAACCCAACATTCAGACTGATGCACTTTATCGAAAAGAAGTATCAAGATCACACTCAATGCCCACAACCTCCCATTCAGTTAAAGAACATCGTGAGCAGAGAGGAAGGAGGTAGAATGGGAGGAGTGTGTTGAGAGAAGCTAACTCCCACCTGAAGAGATCCAGTTCATGAACACTGGGGAGAACTAACGGGGCTGGTAACAAGTTCTGAATGGGAGAGAGAAGAAAGGCAGTTAATGAATGGAAATGTCCTGAGCACAAACTACTGTCACTCTGAGTTGCCAACCTCAGAAACAGAAAGACATTCCATCTACAGTAAGTACCAAAGCATCAAAAAGCTTAGACAAAGATAATGTTTGGAGAGCCAAGCTAGGAGCAAACGTGGACAGCACTGACAGGGGGTAAACTGCTGAGCCAGTCAAGGTGTAAGAATTTCATTTCTTACCCCAGGAGCCAGCCAAAAACCCCTGCCTTCCAAGCCTTAGAAACCTTCCCACTGCAGCCAAGCAGAGCTTGGGAAAATGATAATCAGGGAAGGTGGTGGATGCTAAGAGTCCAGAAACGTGTGAAAGGTACTAGCACAAAGGAGGGAAGGAGAAGGGATTATTGGCAGAACAAGGAGCAATGATGTAAAATTACCCAGGAGGCTGAAGCAGCATCACTCAGGGATTTCTCTGCCCAGGCAGGGGTTAGTGTCATTCTTACTGGGTGGGAGTTTGAAGAGTTTAGTGAAAACACTCGAGAGGAATATTTAGGAAGCTGTTGTTCCAGGGAGCACATTGGACAAGTTCCAAAGAGCTCCAATTCTACAGTACCCTTCTCTTACTCAGCGATCTAGACTCTGCTGGCTATTGGGCCATTTTACACCACTCTTCTTCATCTCACCTCTTGATTGAACTGCTTCAAAGGACTTGATCCGGGTTTATCCACCCTGGATGGGATTCTCACCTGGGTTACAAACAGGAACACAGAGAGGTTATTTGGGGAGATGGGCTCAGCAGGCAGGCATGAAAACTTCCTGTTTATGTCTAACTGTGCAGAGACTAGGAACAAAGGGAAAGAATTTAGAGCCGGCAGGAACATTAACATCCAAAGGAATATAAAAGAAATATGCCACCTTTCTGGTTCAGTGTCCATCAATGCCTGTGGCTTGAGCGTTTGTGAGTGGAGTATCAGTAGCAAGTACCTGAATGACAATTCCCATCACAGGAAGGTTCAGTGTCTGTCCTGGCACCGGAGGTGGCCACTGATCAATCTCATTGCACACTGCAAGAACATGGACAAAGGCAAAACTTTAACCTGAGGGACAAATGCAGCCAGTTTAGATAGTCTCTATGAATCCTGCTGTGAACATATCACCACTGCTGCTGGTCTTTATTACAGGATAAGGAATCTAACTCTGCTTGCTAGTAAGAGAACCAAAAAAAAGAGCTACGGTGGCTAAACAACGAAGTAAAAAGCAGTGAGAGGCAAAAAGGCATCCTTTAAAAAGTGGAAGTTAAATCCTAGTGAGGAAAATAGAAAGGAGCATAAACTCTGGCAAATGAAGTGTAAAAATGTAATTAGGAAGGCCAAAAAAAAATTTGAAGAAAAGCTAGCCAAAGACTCAAAAAGTAATAGCAAAAAAAATTTTAAGTACATCAGAAGCAGAAAGCCTGCTAAACAACCAGTGGGGCCACTGGATGATCGAGATGATAAAGAAGCACTCAAGAACGATAAGGCCACTGCGGATAAATAAATGAATTTTTTGCATCGGTCTTCATGGTTGAGGATGTGAGGGAGATTTCCAAACCTGAGCCACTCTTTTTAGGTGACAAATCTGAGGAACTGTCCCAGATTGAGGTGTCATTAGAGCAGGTCATTGGAACAAATTGATAAACTAAACAGTAATAAGTCATCAGGATCAGATGGTATTCACCCAAGAGTTCAGAATGAACTCAAATGTGAAATTGCAGGACTACTAACTGTTGTCTGTAACCTATGATTTAAATCAGCTTCTGTACCAAATGACTGGAGGATAGCTAATGTGACGCCAATTTTTAAAAAGGGCTCCAGAGGAGACCCTGGCAATTACAGGCCGGTAAGCCTGACTTCAGTACCGGGCAAACTGGTTGAAACTATAGTACAGAACAAAATTATCAGACACATAGATGAATATAAATTGTTGGGGAATAGTCAACATGGTTTTTGTAAAGGGAAATCATGCCTCACCAATCTACTAGACTTCTTTGAGGGGGTCAACAAGCATGTGGACAAGGGGGATCCAGTGGATATAGTGTATTTAGATTTTCAGAAAGCCTTTGACAAGGTCCCTCACCAAAGGCTCTTAAGCAAAGTAAGCAGTCATGGGATAAGGTTCTCTCATGGATTGGTAACTAGTTAAAAGATAGGAAACAAAGGGTAGGAATAAGTGGTCAGTTTTCAGAATGGAGAGAGGTAAATAGTGGTGTCCCCCAGGGGTCTGTACTGAGCCCAGTCCTATTTAACATATTCATAAATGATCTGGAAAAAGCGGTAAACAGTGAGGTGGCAAAATTTGCAGGTGATACAAAACTACTCAAGATGGTTCAGTCCCAGGCAGACTGCGAAGAGCTACAAAAGGATCTCTCAAAACTGGGTGACGGGGCAAGAAAATGGCAGATGAAATTCAATGTTGACAAATGCAAAGTAATGCACATGGGAAAACATAATCCCAACTATACATATAAAATGATGGGGTTTAAATTAGCCGTTACCACTCAAGAAAGAGATCTTGGAGTCATTGTGGATAGTCCTCTGAAATCATCCACTCAATGTGCAGTGGCAGTCAAAAAAACGAACAGAATGCTGGGAATAATTAAGAAGGGGATAGATAAGAAGACAGAAAATATCATGTTGCCTCTATATAAATCCATGGTACGCCCACATCTTGAATACTGCGTGCAGATGTGATCGCCTCAGCTCAAAAAAGGTATATTGGACTTGGAAAAGGTTCAGAAAAGAGCAACAAAAATTATTAGGGGTATGGAACAGCTGCTGTATGAGGAGAGATTAATAAGACTGGGGCTTTTCAGCTTGGAAAAGAGATGACTGAGAGGGGATATGATAGAGATCTATAAAATCATGACTGGTGTGGAAAAAGTAGATAAGGAAGTGTTATTTACTCCTTCTCATAACACAAGAACTAGAGGCCACCAATTAAATTAATAGGCAGCAGGTTTAAAACAAACAAAAGGAAATATTTTTTCACACAATGCACAGTCAACCTGTGGAACTCCTCGCCAGAGGATGTTGTGAAGGCCAAGACTATATAATAGGGTTCAAAAAAGAATTAGATAAATTCATGGAGGATAGGTCCATCAATGGCTATTAGCCAGGATGGGCAGGGATGGTGTCCCTAGCCTCTGTTTGCCAGAAGCTGGGAATGGGCGACAGGGGATGGATTATTTGATGATTACCTGTTCTGTTCATTTCCTCTGGGGCACCTGGCATCGGCCACTGTCGGAAGACAGGATACTGGGCTAGATGGACCTTTGGTCTGACCCAGTGTGGCCATTCTTATGTTCTTATGCATAGCAGCTCTGGGCTCCTAGGGGCTAGATAGGTCCAGGGACAATAACTGAGAGCTGGGAGACTGTCATTCCTGTGCTGTCACAATAGCAACTGAAGTCAATGGAAGCTGTGCTTTGAATACACACAGTGATATATAACACGAAGTACTCTGATTAAATCGGGTCCTAGGTGTCTCAAACTGGATGCCGAAATTAAGTGGATATTTTTGACCTTACTCTCTCTGTGCCTCAGGGAGAACGTGGAAAAAATAGTGTATGATCATGTGATTAAAGACTATATCATAGTTCGTGCACACAAGGGATCCAAATTAAGGTTGCACAGACCAGCTTAATTCTTGCACTTCCTAACTTTTGAGCATTTGACTTTCCAGCCTTAATAATGGTCTTTTAACAGCTGTGCGTGTGTAATATATATATATGTGTGTAATGGAACTAATTGACATTTCTCCCTCCTAGTAACATGCAGCTCTGCAACACTTTGCTTATCAATGTTTTTTTCCATGACATACATCTCTCATTTGCCTTCACATTTACTAATATTAGATTTGTATCCCCGTTACAAAACCCTCACACCCACCCTTTCTCCTTACCTGCCTCCAGGCATGGCTCCAGCTTGTCAAAGTACTCCGGAGCAATCAGCTGCAGCAGAGACTGGAACAGGTTCACATAAGGCAAGCGTGACACCAGCACTAGAGACTGAAATAGATAGACAGTAGCACCATCGTCAGCACTTTTAGCACTCCACCTACAAGAGGTGTCCAGACTCTGCCCACCGGAGATCCACAATGGACTCTTGACAGGAGCCCAGAAGCTGAATCTATTGTGCCCAAAATGATGTTTCCAGTGCACTTGCTCACAGTCTGTGGAACATGTGATGGTTATTTTGTACTGGATTCTCCAGGTGTCCATGCTCAGGGAAGAGCCTGGATGTCTGTAGAAGCAGCTGTAAGGAGCCAGTCTAGCAGCCTCCACCAGGGACCACTGCAACCATAAGAGATGAGTCTGCAGCCCAGCAGAAAAAAGATCACCAGTGTAAAGAGCCAGTAATTGCCAGTAGGTCCAAAGCTGCCAGTGAAAGCACACTAGGAGCTACCTGAGGGAGGAGGGTACCGAGTAGAGCTAGAAACCAGGCACAGAGGAACAAACCAGCCGAGCAGGAATCAGGGACCAGGCAGGGAAGTGATATGTGGAAGACTGGAGCAGACAAACGAAATAAGGGAAATGAGAGGTCATTTTTTCAAGTTAATGTCATTTTGCTTTTTCTGCCCATGTTTCTAATCTCACTGGGTCCCTTTATACCATCTCTGTCATTAGCTTTTATACCACCTTCCAATTCAGTATCCCCTCAGTGTGCTGCTTACTCTGCTTTTCAAATTATTCCAGCTCAGATCTTTTCAATAATGGACCCTTTCTCCAATTCAGTACTTTGCCATTTGGTCTAGCCCTCTGTTTTACTCCCATCTAAGGGCTTGTCTACACTACCACTTAAGTCAATGTAACTTACGTTGCTTAGGGGTGTGAAAAATCATCCCCCCAGGCGACGCAAGTTACATCAACTTAAAGCAATACTCACCCCATGCTGTTGGCAGGAGACGCTCTCCTGCCGACATAGCTTCCGCCTCTCGTTGAGGTGGAGTAATTATGCAGACAGGAAAGCGCTCTCCCGTCAGGATAGCGCGTCTTCACCAGATGCACCACAGCGGCGCAGGTGTATGGGTGCAGCTGTGCCGATATAACACGGTAGTGCAGACTAGCCCTTAGTGTGACAGTGTATTATATCCAATGCTTTCACATTACCCTCTGCTGTTGTAATTCTATTGCAAAAGCAACCAAGTCAGCATGGCAAGAGCTGTTTTACATAAATTCTCCAGTACTGTCCAATTTTCCATTATCCTCCTGATTTTAAGTATCAGAGGGGTAGCTGTGTTAGTCTGGATCTGTAAAAAGCAACAAAGAGTCCTGTGGCACCTTATGCTCCAATATGTCTGTTAGTCTATAAGGTGCCACAGGACTCTTTGTCGCTGATTTTAAGTGTTGTTTTTTCTCTCAGTGACTGATCCATTATTTTACTGGGGACACAAGTTGATGAGTGTTAAGTTAAGACTGCTCTTTGGAAGATACTCCAGGATGTGAGCACAGAGCAGGATAGAAGAGGAGAAGCGCACAAAACAATTATAGGGGCAAAAGAGCCTCAATCTTCTGTCAAATTATCAGACTGGCCTATTGCAAAGCATAGGTCTCTGAATGATAGTTTTAATTCCCCTCTGGTTCAAACTCTTTAATAGGAGGTCACTTTAGTTTTGATGGGAAGATCAAAACAAAACTGGTAATTCAATGGATAAAGAAAAAAGAAAGAGAAATGGATGCCTGCAATGAATTGGAAAATCTTCCTTCACTAGACTTGAGAAAAAGAACTAGTCTGAAATTCCATACTCCTTGAGGCACCAGTTGTGTATTCCTCTACGTTTGGATGGTGTCCAGCACATTGTGGGTGGTACCATCATACAAACAACAACAAAATACACCATCTCTGTGCTCCTGAAGCTGGAGTGTATGGGAAGGGAGGTGTTCCTTCAGGGATTTCTCAGGAATTTATGGCACAGACGGATTGTAAATCGCTGGTCACATGATTTATCTAGTATGGCAGCCTCTTGCAAGTTTGTCTCGGTCTACACTTTCCACGTAGTCCAGCTGTTGCAGCTTTTTTCCTCATGGCCCTTCCTGTTTCCTTGAGGAACATTTCTGGTGTCATTGAAGGGAATGGTGAGATTGTTAAGAACTATGGATAGATGCCATTTTACAGCTCTGTACTGCTTTAAAGCAGCAAGCTACCTAGTTTCAATACTCACCTTCTGGAAATAACCTCTCTTCATTGAGCTGTCCTTGACTTGCCTGAAGTACACATAGCCAAAGTAATGAGCTGACTCCCGCTGCAAGAAAGAGGCCAACAAGACCATTGTCAAGGAACCTGCTACCTCCACCACTAGTCTTGAGCCTCCCTGTAGTCCAGTGGTGGCCAACCTGCGGCCCGCGTGCAGCTCATCAGGGTAATCTGATTGCGGGCTGCGAGACATTTTGCTGACATTGACTGTCCACAGGCACGGCTCCCTGCAGCTCCCAGTGGCCGCGGTTCGCCATTCCCGACCAATGGGAGCTGTGGCCAGCACGTCCCTGTGGCCCACGCCGCTTCCTGCAGCTCCCATTGGTCGGGAACGGCGAACCGTGGCCACTCGGAGCTGCGGGGGGCCCTGCCTGCAGACAGTCAACGTCAGCAAAGTGTCTCGTGGCCATCAATCAGATTACCCTGATGGGCCGCATGTTGCCCACCACTGCTCGTCTCAGAGATCTGTAAGTACACCTCAGCCCTGAACTACAGCACCCCCCACTACTCCAGGCCTGGTCTTCTCTTTGAGGCAACTGTCAATGACAAACGGTGTGGCAGATTTTATTAAATGCGCATGTAGGGATGAGACTGGGCCCACTGAACTCCCAATTACAGCATAAGGAGTTGAACTCCAGAGTGTCACCCAGCCCCTTGTACTACACTCACTACTGTAATTCCATCTGTGGCCCTTATTAAAAGGGTTACTTGCTGTTCCCATTGAAATAAACCAGCTGGGCTTGCTCAGTGATCTAATCCTGGGAACTCCCTGTTGGTATGTAGCAAGCTCTTGTCTGATTTTCAGCTTCACTCTCTGGATAGAGATGGGCTTGGAGTGCTGTGGGGGCAACACATCGTCTCCTGAGAAGAAGAAATGCCTGCCCTTCATCGCTCAATAGCACTCTCTCCAGACAAACTCTTGAGTCAATACCATTCTGGCTTTAGCCAGGACAGTAGCTTTGACAAAGGACCCGAAGGACAGAGCTTGTAAGGCAAAAAAAAAAAACCCATGGGATTTGATAAAAATCCCTCACCACTAGTTGGCATTTACAACATCCCTAAATTCCCACAACTGGCAGTGGGGTAGAGATGGAGTCTAATTACCCACACAGTGGACCAGGCCTACTATTCCTTGGCATGTCGGAGTTCTAGTGATCTAGGCACTTATAACACATCAGGCTGACTGGAGAGATTGTGTGTGTTGTGAGAGCACTAGGTGATGAGAGAGTCCAGAATATTCCCAGAATTCCTTCTCTGTGCAGCAGTCACCAGGAGTCACTCCCCAGGGCATATGACGGCTAGCGTTAAGAAACCTTACACAGGCACCTGAGGGACCCTGACACCAAACAAGGGAAGAAGGAAGAGGAAGTAAGGACAAACTCCTGCTCTAGCAGGAGAACCAGTACCTGACCACACTTACCTTCTCTGTGTGAAATGGACTAGCCAGTACAAGAGAGAATCACAAACCAGAACTCCAGGAGTAGAAAGCTATTCTAGGTCACCAGAGCTCTAACATTCGTCCCCTGTTTGAGTGGAGCACTAACACTCCTTCAGCCTGGCTAATTCCAACACATCACATCTTGATCTTTATTCCCACAGAGAGGTTAAATCCTTGGCAGTATGTCCCTCTACTCACATTAAGATGAATGGGAATCCCTATGCTGAAAATTTACCCCTTTGTGATTATTCCCATGGCCTCGGGCAAAATTCAGTCGAACGGGACAATTATTTACAGGAAAAAATAAATCCATGTTCACATTTTGTTTTTAAACACACGAATGCTATTGTTCATTTCGCAGGTGCAAGCTGCATACTGTGCAATAACTGACCTGTAGTGTTAGGGGGGCTTCTCTGTTATATTCGCCATCATCCCCAAAATGAGTGTTTCTCTGCCCCCCAGACTGACGGAGACGGAAGCTAAATTGAGTATCTCCTAGGCCGCCTGAGACAGAGACAAGATCACACACACTCAAGAAGAAGGTTCAGTAAAGAAAGGACGAGGGACTTTGATTATCAAAAAAATTTAAGGAAGTAAAAACCAGTTAAAATATATCAAACTCAAATTAGCAGTGAGAGAGTAACAGCAAAACAGTAGGATCAATTAGGAAGGAGATGCAGCAGATCACAGGAATTTGTATTGATGTATTTATTATGCACTCATTTGCTGGGAACATTAAAAACATCAGCCAGTACTGCCCACACTGAGCAACTGCAGCCCTCCCCCGATCATCCACCAGATTGGAAACCTACACATATATAGTTTTAATCCAAAACTGCATAAAGGCTTGGCTGAAAACACAGCCAGTGCACCGTACCCCGAGAGCCAGGATGTATTTGTTCTGGCAAATGGCCAAGCTGAGTGAGTTCCACAGCTGGGAACCCCCACACTGAGAACACTTTGCACATGGTACAAGAGCATGACATTCTCTCCAGAAAAAAGAACAGGAGTACTTGTGGCACCTTAGAGACTAACAAATTTATTAGAGCATAAGCTTTCGTGGGCTACAACCCACTTCTTCGGAAGCTTATGCTCTAATAAATTTGTTAGTCTCTAAGGTGCCACAAGTACTCCTGTTCTTTTTGCGGATACAGGCTAACACGGCTGCTACTCTGAATTCTCTCCAGAGATACCCCAGATTGGAGGGATGGGCAGAGAGACACTGACAGAATATGTGCAAAGTAAGTTCACATTTTAGGCTCCAAATCATCATCATGCATGTGAAAGGAGAGCCAAACTGGGACTGATATTCAGGTCTGTGGAAAACTGACTTGACAGTCCAAGGATGGGCAAAATGCAGCCCACAGAGTTCTACCATGCTGCCATTCTCATCTCTAATATACACGTGCAACCCACAGCAACTACAGCAGGAAGCTGGAAGGATTGATTTATGATGAAAGAGCTACATATGTAAAACTAAACACTAATTTAGGCTAATCAATGACTAATGCACTACATAGGGGTGAGACCTGATACACCCTTCACATTTTTGTAGATGCTTAAGCCCCAAGGAAGGAAAGGGATTCTTTTGTGTGTTATGAAGGAGTACAGCTAGAAATAAAGGGATAACACTAAGAAGAGAAAGATTTGGGATGGACAGCAGAAGTAGTAGAAAGGGCTCAGAAAGGAAGTGGTGGAAGCACCATCTCTAAGGACAATTAAAACTCAACTGGCCAAAGCCCTGGAGAGCAGACTGTAGGAAACAATCGTGGAGGGATTTACTGGCCTAATACAGCTTTCCATCTCATGGCTATCTTTCTGATTTGCAAACACAGACTTTGAACTTGTTGTGTTTTGTTCGGAGAGAACCCCTTCCCCAGAAAAGCTAAGTACATTTCTCCCTGTGCTGAGCCATCTTCTGCGTCAAAATGCTGATATCAGCATGGACAACTGCAAGTCCGGGGAAATTTAGCCCTGATTACTATTTTTAATACTTTTTCTGGCATCTGAAAAGCATGAGCAAAGCTTGCACATAGAGAAATTCTCCAGTCAGCCGCTAGATCACAGGTTCTGCATCTATTTAGATAAGGATAAAAATTCAACTGGAAACCTCTCCATGCAGCCCTGATGCCAGAGTGCTCTCTGAGGTCTTCATTCTGGAAGATACAGCCCATTGTTCTCTCTGCTACATTACAGATGCTGACTCACTCTTTCTAATATGAACCTTAATGTCTCTTTCACAACAACAGGAACCATCCTCATTCTCCATGCAGAGCCCACAGATGCCACCTACCCGAGTAGGAGTCTGGGAAGGACAAGTAGCAGATGTTGGTTTTCTGTAACAAACAAGAACACATTGTAAGACACCCTGTACCACACCTACCGATCTTTAAGACAGAAGAAACGATCCTACCTCTTTTTCTGTCAGTCTGAAGTCATAAGGATACACCAACTACAAAACAAACAAGAGATGACAAGCTGTAGACTCCGGCCATTGCTACGTTCCCCCAAACTCACCCCCACCAGGCCAATGTTTTTAAATGTACATTGCTTCCTGGCTGTAAGAAAAAATCAGTTTATATAATCCACAGACTCTAGCTCACACTATTAGCAGGTAAACATACCCATTTAGAACCTGATAGTACAGTCAGTTATCAAAAGGCAGCCTGTGGCAGAAGCCACATTTATTAGATAAACCAATCTGTAGACAGAAAGAATCGTTCACATTTTAATTCTGACATCCCTGGTTTAAAAACTAGCAGTTCTTTGAACTTTAAAAACTAACTACTAAGTAGCCTGAAGCTTAAACCTGATAGCAGAAATTGCTGATTTGATGACTGTGCTCTCTAGAGCAAGCCAAACAGAACTATCCTCATTCAGCCTGAAATTGTTTTGTTATGGCCCCAATTCAGGAAAGCATCTCCATTCAGGACAGCACTTAAGCATGGGCCTATCTCTATAGTTATTTTTTTCTGCTTTTGAACCTGGCTAAGAAGGCATCTATGTTTCTTTAAAATGGTCCAAGTGTTCAGAAGGTGGCAGAGGAGACCATATCCTGTGACCACTGCAATGGAACAGCAAATGTATAAGAACTTAAGAATGGCCATACTGGGTCAGACCAATGGTCCATCTATCCCAGTATCCTGTCCTCTGACAATGGCCAGTACCTTCATTTCAGAGGAATGAACAGACCATGACAATTTTGAGTAATCCAAGCCCTGCCAGCCAGTCCCAGCTTCTGATAGTTGGAGGTTTAGGGACACCTGGAGCATGGGATTCTATCCCTGACTATCTTGGCTAATAGCCATTTATGGACCTGCCCTCCATTAACTTATCTAATTCTTTTCTGAATGCAGTTATACTTTTAGCCTTCACAACATCCCATAGCAACACGTTCCACACGTTGACTGTGTGTTGTGTGAAGGGATCTGGGGCAAAAATCTGTCTGGGGATTGGGCCTGCTTTGAGCAGGGGGTTGGACTAGATGACCTCCTGAGGTCCCTTCCGACCCTGATATTCTATGATTCTATGATTCTAAGTAGTATTTCTTTTTGTTTGTTTTAAACCTGCTGCCTATTAATTTGATCAGGTGACCCGTTTCTTGTGTTGCCTAAAGGGGTAAATAACACTTCCCTATTCACTTTTTCCACACCATTCATTATTTATAGATCTCTATCATACACACCTCCTCTTAGTTGTCTCTTTTCTAAACTGAACAGTCCCAATCTTTTTAATCTCTCCTCATACAGAAGCCATTCCATGCCCTTAATCATTTTTGTTGCCCTTCTCTGTACATTTTCCAATTCTAATACATCTTTTTGAGATGGGGCAACCAGAAATGCATGCAGTATTCAAGGTGTGGGCATACCATGGATTTATGAAGTGACGTTGTGATATTTTCTGTCTTATTATCTATCCCTTTCCTAATGGTTGCTAACATTATTAGCTTTTCTGACTGCCACTGCACATGGAGCAGATGTTTTCAGAGAACTATGCACAATGACACCAAGATCTCTTTCTTGAGTGGTAACAACTAATGTAGATCCCATCATTTTGTATGTTCAGATGGGATTATTTTTCCAATATACATTAATTTGCACTTATCAACATTTAATTTCATCTTATATTTTCTTGCCCGGTCACCCAGTTTTGTGAGATTCCTTTGTAACTCTTTGCAGTCAGCTTTGGACTTCAGTATCTGGAGTAGTTTTGTATCACTTGCAAATTTTGCATCCTCACTGTTCACCCCTTTTCCAGATCATTTAAGAGTATGTTGAACAGCACAGGTCCCAGTACAGACCCCTGATGGACACCACACCTCTCCCTATTGTGAAAACTGACCATTTATTCTTACCCTTTCTTTCCTGTCTTTTAACCAGTTACTGATTCAGGAAAGAACCTCCCCTCTTATCTCATGACAGCTTACTTTGCTTAAGAGCCTTTAGTGAGGGACCTTATCAAAGGCTTTCTGAAAGTCCAAGTACACGATATCGACTGAATCACCCTTGTCCACAAGCTTGTTGACACCCTCAAAGAATTCTAATAGATTGGTGAGGCATGTTGTATGTTTGACTCCAACCTCAAATGCCTAAAGAATTATGCTATAAGGTCAATGGGATTTGTCACCTAATGCTTCAAATGCAAAAGAAACTAGACTGATTCTATGTATCTAAATTGAAAACAAATTCCATTTTGTACTTGAAATATTTAAGTGCTGCTAGCGCTGCATCTATGTGCCTGTAGACAGCGTAACCCAGCTAAGGAGAAGTAAACTCATTCAGCATTTCTCAGTTCAGTAGCAAGTACAGAAATCTGTGTGCAACTGACATATACCAGCAAGGTTCTTTCCAGAACAATAATCTCAATCACAAATACAAAGAGACGTGAGGAATTCTGACACAGCGATAATGATATTAAGCTTTATATCCCACCTTTTACTCTGATGGATCCTAAAGTATTTACAACACTTTATTAATAAACCATGCAGCAGCTGCCCCAAATAGCCCTTCTGGACAGAAAATGAAGAATAATGTAGCCAAGTGAAATTGCAGGGGGGAATTTTAGATAGGCAGGTTACTGGCACTTTGAAAGCAACTTGCACTGGATGACCTGCAAGACAGGGATTTTCTAGGCACAGTCTAATTCTGAGGGTCTCAGGAGGTAGTTCTGTTTCAGGACAGTATGAGAACCACCTGGTACTCAAATCAGAAGCTGTTTTCAAAACTTGGCTTCTCCTACCTGTCTATTAATAGCTACTCTGGGCTCCAAGCCAGAGCTTTGAAGGTTCATAGGATCAAGCCAGTCCTAGCTCTAGTAATTCCTCATAGCTTCTTTGGCAGGCTGGCCTAATCAGCTTCTGAACATGAGTCAAGTTAACTATTAGAGACTACGCTGACAGTACAGCCTCACCACACAAAAAAGGCATAAGCTATAAAACACCAGGAGTGAAGTTATGACAGGTATAGTGCAGCGGTGAAGGGGCAGATGTGTGATAAAAGCAAGTCCAAAGAACCTATGCTTTTAGACACCAAGATGTGATGCATTAGAACTGCACAGGAGGAGCATAATTATTTTCATAAAATGCTTGATGTATTTTTGCAATGAGCAGCTGACTCCAAACTCATATGGCTATGACCAATTTGATCTTCAGTCCAATTTCCCTTTCTGTAACTTCCACTTTATCACACACAGAGCAAAGGGTCCAACAAGGGGGGAGGGATAGCTGAGTGGTTTGAGCATTGGCCTGTTAAACCCAGGGTTGTGAGTTCAATCCTTGAGGGGGCCACTTAGGGATCTGGGGCAAAAATCAGTACTTAGTCCTGCATGCATTCATTCTCAAATGATCAGCCAACCGAGCAGTTCATGAATCCAGTACAACCACTCTTTCTGGAAGACTTACTGCTTGTGGTCTAAGTGCTGGACTGGAAGACAGGAACAGAATTCGAATTCTGATACCACCTCTACTATGGCCTCCAGCAAGCCACTCAAACCAACATTCTCAAATGTGGACACTGAGGTTGGCCTCCTTACTTGGGCCTGATTTTCAGAGATGTTAAGCATTCACTTCAATTGGAGCTGCAGGCGATCAGCAGTTTGGAAAATCAGGCCCAAATGTCTCAGGCTGACTACCCAAACATTGAGACGCTAAAAAAATCACAGGTCACTTTTGGAAGTCTGATCCTTAATGTCTATACCTCTGCTTCCCCAGTAAAATGAGCTAAGAATACTTACCCACCCAGGAGAAGGTTGGGAATAAGTTAATACTCATTAAATACTTTATGGATGAAAAAAAAAATCCAGAATATTTAGGATACAGCACAGGGGTCGGCAACCTTTCAGAAGTGGTGTGCCGAGTCTTCATTTATTCACTCTAATTTAAGGTTTCGCGTCCCAGTCATACATTTTAATGTTTTTAGAAGGTCTCTTTCTATAAGTCTATAATATAGAACTAAACTATTGTTGTATGTAAAGTAAATAAGGTTTTTAAAATGTTTAAGAAGCTTCATTTAAAATTAAATTAAAATGCAGAGCCCCCCAGACCAGTGGCCAGGACCCGGGCAGTGTGAGTGCCACCTTCGGCACGCGTGCCATAGGTTGCCTACCCTTGATATAGCACTTTTCAATTGCAAAAATGTACTGTATATAAAAAGGAACTTTTCATTGTAAAGATCCCTTGAAATCTAAGCAGGAGCCCCAATTGGCTGAAGTCACTCAGTATTCTCCGTGAAGAAGGAACTCTCCCACCAAAGCTAAGTTAACAGTGTGCAGCCTACTTGTACTGTTGAGAAAGGGTCATTCCACTAAGGCTCCCCCCTTGAAATCTACAAGGGCCCCGAGTGCTCTGCTGCTGTCATAGCAACACAAACTGTATCCCTGAACATGGAGTCTGGTAGTTTAAAATAGCCCCTGCTGCACAAAGCGCCTGTGTTTGGAGGGGTTTAGGAAGGGAGGGGTTGTGCTTTTGTGAAATGGGTTATTTTAGAACCACCAGACCCCATTTTCAGCAGTCCACTATCTGTTTCTATGACAGCAGCAGCCGAGCAGTCAGGGCCCTTGTAGAGTTCAAAAGCAATGTGCTAGTAAGATCTGTTCGCAATAGCACCTACAGACTCCAAACTGTTAACTGGAGGGAGAAAAACAAAAAAAGATGGGGAAATATTTTGAAATTTTCCCTGCTATTTTTGTTGTCAGGGTGACAGACTGACAAAATCCCGAACAAGCCTTATGGAATTAAGATAAAGGTACTAGGGTTAATATCTTTGGGGTACATTGTATTAAC